GCGTGAAATAAATTTTCACGTCTCTCTCTTCTCTCTCGCGTTTCAACTTTGAGACACAAATCTTCAAAGAATCGACGAAATCCATTGATTTTTCGTCTCGAATCATGACGGAATCGAGTCGTGGGTGGTCGATTTGGTATGAAAGCATATCAAAATTATTGAAACAGGCGGATTTTGACTCTCTCGCTTCTTGAGTTCTTCGTCTCTTGTTGTGAATTAGAATGTTGTCGAGGATTTGTCACGCCATGTTTCTCCGTTGATTTCCGACCGTGATTTTTCCGGTGAGAAGGGTTTTCAGCAGTAAAATTTACGAAGAAATTGATCCCCTAACTATGAATATATCTGAGCTAAATCAGGTGTGTTTGTTAATTTTTTGTTATTTAGACCCAAAACTTGATGCTACGTGGAAAATCAGGAAGCTTGATTTTACGATTATTCTTTGACATAAATGCTTAAAAGTTCGATGCTTTCTCTATTGATTCATACGTCTTCTTTGGTGTTTCAGGAAATGCAATCGATCTTTGGAGAAGAACCCTCTACCGATGGATTTACCCTTCCTACGAAAACGGATTTCTCTGAATTGAAATCTCTGGAATCTACAAAACTTGAGAATCCTGAACTGAGATCCCATGTTGAGTATTCTCAAGCTAAAGAAATACCTGCAAAAGTGGCGTGTGATATATCTAATAAGCTAACGCATGTAGGGATCTCAGGGGAAGCTCAAATGGTGGATGTTTCTTCCAAAGACAATACTAAGAGAACCGCATTGGCTTGCTGTATAGTTGTTCTCGGTAAAAGAGACGTTGTTTCGGTTCTCTTAGAAGCATCCCATGGAAGGATCCAAGACATTTGTCAGAAATGCCAAGAGTCCAATGTACCTTTGCTGATTGATGCGGAAGACACAATCCTTCAACCAGCTATCGATTACATGGCTTATTCATCGGCAATCTTGTTCAATGCGGACAAAGACCGACCAATTGTTTACAACACGATTCAAGCCTACTTGAGAGACGCGGGTGAGAGATTGCATTTGGCGGTAAGCGAAGCTGAGAAAGAGAATGTTCCTATGGGATTTAAGTTGGTGAGAGGTGCGTATATGTCTAGCGAAGCTAGATTGGCAGATTCATTGGGTTGCAAGTCACCGATCCACGACACTATTCAAAACACTCACGCTTGCTACAACAACTGCATGACCTTCCTCATGGAGAAAGCCTCGAACGGATTGGGGTTCGGAGTCGTTCTTGCAACACATAACGCTGATTCGGGTCAGCCATTGAATCTCATTGTAAAAGAAAGCGAGTGAGCTCGGGATCGATAAAGAGAACGGAAAATTAGAGTTTGCTCAGCTATATGGTATGTCAGATGCGTTGTCCTTCGGATTAAAGAGAGCCGGGATCAATGTTAGCAAGTACATGCCGTTTGGACCTGTTGAAACTGCTATACCGTAGGATGGAACTTAAGAGGAGATTAATCGCCGGAGTTGCGTGAAGAGAGGAGTTTTATTTTCCTTATGTATGGAGCCATTAATTGAAATTGGGAAATGTAGATCAATGAATTTGTTCATCAATAAATTTGTTCTATGTTGTAGATTAAGAAATTTTTAAGCAAAAAAAATATTATAATATAAGAAATGGAGTAGGTATAAACCTTTCATGTGGCTTTATCGTAACGGACTATATTTTTATATCAATATATGGTTCACCAATGTATATTCATCCTTCCTTATCAATAAATAATGCAATTATCTTTTCTTTTTTTGCCGGGCAATTACCTTATTTATGAAGTTTGATTTGGTCATTTTCTTTTGCCGTGAAAAAATTAATCCTCTAACTGAGGAGAAGACACTAAGGTCAAAATTCTATGTGAAGATTTTAAAGAACATGTAATTTAATTTAACCAATATGAATATTTCAATTATAACTATATGTCATGGTGAAAATCTCTACATATTCTTATTAATTTTATAATATAAATCCATTAATACATATTTTACAAATCTAAGTCCATCTAAGTGTAATACTTAGATTTTCCATATAATCTATCTTTTATATATATTAAAAAGTTTTTTATTATTATATTTGTAGCAATATTATTTATTGTGTATATATTTATTTAGATTAATATGATATATACAAATATTTTAATTATGATAGTGTACTATATATATATATATATGACTACACTTATAAATATTTACGTATTTCATTATTGGAAATATATATAATTTTTCTTTTGTTATGTCTGTCAAATTCATATAAATCTAAAATTTATCTGATTTATCGCATGTTCTATAATTTACACGAATAATAAAAATTAATTTTACACTTAAAATATATTGAAATAAAGAAATGTTCATATGTATTGATCAATTTTGCACATAAAAATATTAAACTAATGACATTGCTTGATCAAAATTTAACTTGATTATATTTGTGCATAATGAATACCATTTTGTAAGGTTATAAATATTAGAAATCATATGGTTTGTCATACATATTTAAATATTAAAATCAATTAAAAAATATATTTAATAATTTAATCCCACATTTGGCGTGGATCAAAATCTAGTGTTACAGTAAATGAAAGTTCAATAGATTTCTCTAGACTGCGGTACGTCCTTATAGCTGGGTTACATAGAAAGTCTAGTATGTCTGAAGTCCGCTTTCTGCTTTGAAATTGGACTCGTAAACATTTGGAAAAGCAGAGAAGTTTGAGTCATAAATCTTAGTTTAGAGAGACGAAGAAAATGCTCCATTTCTTTTTGTAACCACAGACTAATCTTATTTTTGTTTTATTTGGAAACTTCTAAATATCTTATCCTCTATATATTAATAGAGGATACACTAGATAAAAAATCATAAATGTCATCTAAAGAGGATTTTAAGGAACTCATAATAAAGACTATTAAAATTTTTTAATGATGAATATATAGAAGCAACAAATATGTGATAATTAATATGGATGATTTTATTTAAAAAATATAGAAAATATTTGAGAATATCTTATTTTCTTTTCAATAGCTATTAAATTTTTTGACCCGAGTCAAACGCAAGATTAGAATATACGAAACTAGAAATAAGAAAGATAAAAC